CACTCACGACTGAGTGGCAAAAATGGAAAATGTGTTGAATCGGCACGACGATCATTTCACGGTTTTCACAATTTTTTGAAATGTTTTTGATATTTTTCATGGAAAGAGCACGACCAATCTATGGATTCAGGTTTTTCAACGAATCGCTCTTAGCACAAAAATACGTTAAAGTTACGTCTTGCAAATTGCAGGACTGGACCCGCCAGTACCTTCCGCCTTGGACAACCTGCGTATGGAACTCTTGACAACGCCTCCCCTTTTTAGTTCTTTTTAGGGTCCGCTTCCACCTGAAAACCAATCGTTTTTTTTCCAAAAGTCCTTGTTTTACACACACATACACAAAATGTTCGACTGAGCTTTAATTGGAAAGAAGTAATTAAGAGTTTCTGCTGGACTTAACTTGGAAATATGTTCGTTGTCAGTTTAGTATCCAAGTCAAAAAAAAGTTTTCTACTACGACCGACATTGAACAATTTGTGGGGTACTACCTGACCAAGTTGTTGTGAGATGAAGTAGGTTTGTCGTGACTGCCTCTACTATCATTTGCTTTTCTATGCAGAGTCTCCACTACAGCTCCCTCCTCAAGTTACACTCCCCTCTCCTCTGCAGACCTTCCTCCTCCCCTTCCTCCCCCCTTCCCTTCCCCCCTCGCTGCAGCCATTTTGGACAGCTAATCTCCCTTTCCACCCTAGCTGCAAATGTTTGGTAGTGTTAACCTCTTTCTCTCGACGCTTCTCGCTGCCGCTTCGCACCACGGTAATCTCTCCAAGTCTCAGGCTTCCCCCACCTCCTACTCTTGTTCGTCCTCTCCCTCTTTTTCGTCCTCCTCATCTCCTTCATTTTCCACAATGCACGCAATCAATATCGCTTAGTAAATGCCAACCGATCTTTGCAATGGCCACGTCATCACAATTGCGACTCCCGAAGTGAGCTTCACTACAGAAGCCGAAGATGATGCTGATGATGATTCTTGATCCCAAATAGAACGAAATAGAACCCATGGTCATTACCACCGTATTTAACCTGAAAGTTAGCCCAAATACAACTATAATGACCGTGCGTTCTATTCGGGGGTAGTTTCACCGACACATTAGGAGGTTGAACCCCAACATTCTGCCCAAAATGCATTTGACTAACCGATTAGGACTTACCACGCCACCTACAGTTAGCGATACCCCTGAGAAAAGTGGTCGATTTTACTCACACCAACCTTGTATCCTCGCAGATTGTCGTTCCTCTTTGTGTGTGTGTGTGTATGTGTGTTTGTGCGTGTGAGAGAGAGAGCGAGACAGAGACAGATAGACAAACATATAAAGAGAAAGACAAAGCTAAATGAAACTTTAGTGATTGTACGTTTAATTCGGGGAAAAACGTTGAATGCCTATGACAATACAACAATTCTCTCAACCGTGCATGTAAGTCTTTTTCTCCTCCTCTCTCTCTCTCTCTCTCTCTCTCTCTCTCTCTCTCTCTCTCTCTCTCTCTCTCTCTCCATCGAATAGGTAAGAATGGGGAAAAGAACAAACCATGAAGGCATAAAGGATAAGTAAACAGAAAGTCGGAAGGAATCCGTAAACCTTCTTTATCTCGACCCTCTTCTTTTGTTCCGTCGACTTACCTTTGTTTCTTCATGTGATGTTGGGCGCCACTGTGCTGATTGCGCACCTGATCTTCCTTATCCTCCTATCAAACTTGCTGGTGCCTCCATTCCTCCCCACTCCTCTATCCTCCTCTATCCAGACCCTGAGAGCTACATTGTGATGGTGATCCCTCTACTGTCTTCCCCCCTTCCTGTCTAGAACCCCCTGCCTTCTCCGAACCCGCTCCTCCCCAATCTCATCCTATCCACGACAATCTTCCATCTCCTGTGTCCCTCCTCTTGCACTTCCAGGCCTGATCGACCTTATTCCCTCCTCCTTTCCCCACCTCCCCTTCTCTCCAATCGTCATGACTCCCATCCTTGTTTTCCTTCCCACATCTCCTTGCAATCCAATCACCCTTGCTATTATCTCCCTTCAAACTTTCGCGATTCCACCATCGCTTTCTCATTTTGTCTTCACTCCTACACCCGTCCTCAGCGATGTGATCTCCCTGTCCTCTAACTCCTTTCCCCTGCCGTTGATATCTTGATCTTCACGTGGACCCCTGCAACCTTGATTGTCAAGGTAGAGGAGTCAGGACAATCGTTTTCATTCCATCCTCCTTCACACATCTCCTTGTGATACCATTTGCCCTCTGCATCCTCTCCTCCAAGATTCCATGATATGGCATTTTCCCATCCCTCTCGCTTGATCGCCCTCTATTTTGTATTCGTTTGATATAGACCATTATGTTTCTTTTTTCCTTGCCACATGCTCAGACAAAAAATAGAACAGACGGTCCAAAAGTTTGCCCTATGCCTTTGCCACTGCTTATTATGCTGCGGCCCAATCATGAATTTTGTGTGTGTGTGTGTGTGTGTGTGTGTGTGTGTGTGTGTGTGTGTGTGTGAGAGAGAGAGAGAGAGAGAGAGAGAGAGAGAGAGAGAGAGAGAGAGAGAGAGAGAGAGAGAGAGAGAGAGAGAGAGGGTGTGTGTGTGTGTGTGTGTGTGTGTGTGTGTGTGTGTGTGTGTGTGTGTGTGTGTGTGTGTGAGAGAGAGGAATTTTGTGTGTGTGTGTGTGTGTGTGTGTGTGTGTGTTGCCCAATCATGAATTTTGTGTGTGTGTGTGTGTGTGTGTGTGTGTGTGTGTGTGTGTGTGTGTGTGTGAGAGAGAGAGAGAGAGAGAGAGAGAGAGAGAGAGAGAGAGAGAGAGAGAGAGAGAGAGAGAGAGAGAGAGAGAGAGAGAGAGAGAGAGAGGGTTCAAGAAGAGGAAGAGGAGGAGGAACTTGACTGGATGAAGAGCGAATGTGAGAAAACGATATTAAGATGAAGATCGCTGCCAACTATGATGGTGGTGGCGCCTAGGAGGAGACGCATAGGTTAAATGGACATAGAGTTGGGAGAGGAGAAGGAAGAGGACTTGGTGGAATGGATAAGTGATGATGATGAAGAGGTCAGATGACTGTAAGTAGTGTTGATGATCATGATGATGACGACTTGGAAAATTCAACACGGAGGTTTAGGCGTGTGTGTGCGGCATTAGTCGAAGGCCGTTTCGTTTGTTGTCTTTCTTCAAATGCCGCCAGTCCCCAGTCTCTCTACCACGCTGATTCGCACGACCTTGCATGCTCATTTCGCCAGCCTGCCCGTGGGACTCTCAGCAAAGCCTCTGCGTCGACGTTATCATCGCTTGGGACTCGCTACCTGACCTCCACCTAACAAAAATAATTCTTCACCCCTTCTACCTTCTTCTTGGGGTCCCCATCAAAGTGATGACTGGTCATTCATTTTTTCCAAAGTACCGGTTCTACAAGAGCTAGTTGTCGGTCCTCTGCATAATCGTGAACTACCAGTCCCCCCCAAACTCCCCCCTCCAAGAACCCTCTTGCGTGCTAGTCGCCCGCTACCAAAAATGCGACACCTTGACGCAAACGCCGAAGCCCACTATAACGCAGCCTTAGGGCTGCAAACTATATTGTCTACCGCGTGGGCATGGAGAACGCAGTCGTAAGGTATTTAGAAAAATGAGACGAAGAAGACGTACAAGAGAGAGAGAGAGAGAGAGAGAGAGAGAGAGAGAGAGAGAGAGAGAGAGAGAGAGAATGGCAAAATTGGAATATGGGTCAAATGGCGGCCGCGATCTATTTCGATCTATTTCGCAGTTGGAGTTTTTCTTTAATTTGTTTAATATTGTTCCTGGAAAGATCACAACAAAATCTACGAGCATTGCAATTTTCAGTTTTTTTCACACATTGTTCCGAGGGCAAAAAATCACTGAAAATGGAGTACTTTTTTTGTTGGCCCACACATGGCTGAGTGGCAAAAATGGAATATGGGCCTTGCTCCACTACTGTCCGCTATACAAAATTTTGTATAATTGGTGGACAGCTCTCAGTATCGTAGAAAACCTTAGGAACCGGGCATCGCTCCACTAACTGTCCACAATACAACTCCCCAATTTGTGAGTCCACTAACTGTCCACTATACAACTCCCCAATTTGTGAGTCCACTAACTGTCCACTATACAACTCCCCAATTTGTGAGTTCAGTACGAGACACCCTGGCAGCACTACAAGACTCGGCCTCTATAGCATTTTGTCCGCCCAGACTCCAGGCTCGCTGTTCAAAAAGGCGGAGGGTCCGCAGGTTCCTACGAGGACCGTCCACGAAACGACTTGTGCAGGCTGGGAGCTATACATGCAAAAATGGACAGTCGATTTTCCATGCTATTTCTGACAACTGTCCAAGCCAGTTCACACACGGATAGTGGACAGCAAGAGGAGGGTACTGTCCATTTTGTATAGTGGCCAGTAGTGGAGCCGCACGGCTATCATTTCGTGGTGATTTTCTGAAAAATTTCTGATACTTTTCCTGGAAAGATCACGACCTAACCTATGGATATTTGAATTTTTAGACTTTTCTGCGAATTCCTCCGAGACTTTGTAAAAATGCGATGGACCAGTCCCCCAGCAACTTTCACCCCATTAGAACTCACTTGTGCGCCGGTTCTCCACAGACGCCGAGGCTTACTACACCGCAACGTTAGGGCTGCGAACATTTGGCGAGTGTTACGGCGCGGCGGGGTCCAGCTCAGGGGCCCCAGATGATTGGTGGATTTGAACTCAGGTCTATATTTCAACAGTTCAAGGGTATGTCAACTGAGCACATCTGCTTTCTTACAGTTTTTTTTTTTTTTTTTTTTGTTTTTTGGAAAGCTTGTACTTGCATTATAAATCAATAGAACGAGGGCGGGGACCTCACATCTGCTTTTCAGACGCGCATTTGGACCATTTCTCGATTTATGCGTGTCATCCTTGCGCAGGGGCCATGCTAATCTTCTCTGTATCGTTCCAATTTTAACGGATGTCCCGAAGGACGGACGCGCATTTGTGTTCTCCGCGCAGCGCCGTTGGGATTTACGCTGCCCGGAAAAGAAATTGGCAGGGAAGAACTCCGTGCAGAACGGCGTGCAGAAGTGCTGTGTGTGTGTGTGTACGTGTGTGTGTGTGTGTGCGCCCGCGATGTGGAGAGGTTCATTCACACACGGCCCAAAAGGAAATAGGTGAGTTTGCGCGGCGTGCCGAAGTTCACCCTCTCTCCCTCCCTCCCTCTCTCTCTCTCTCTCAGCGGTGTTGCCGTTCAGGAAAAAAAAAACTACAGCAACCAAATAGTTTCTTTCGCCCGGCGTGGGCGAAGTGCACCCTCTCTCCCTCCCTCCTCCCTCCCTCCTCCCTCCCTCTCCTAGCCTTGTAGTGCGTCTAGAGGTGGAGAGTTCCGTTCACACTCGGCCCAAGAAGTAAATAGGTTGGTTCGCGCAGCGTTCTCTCTCTCTCTCTCTCTCCCCCCCCCTTCTCTCCCCCCTCCCGAAACATCCCTCCTTCCATCCGCCCTCCATCCATCGGTCCATTCGTCTAGGGCAGCAACTCCATGTTAAGCGGGGGTGACAAGGAACACAAGGGGACAGGGGGGCAAGGAACACAAGGGGGGGGGGGTAATTAAGTGCTTGGTCAGGCAGGCAGGAGAAGGTAGCCATCGAAATCTTGACGATCTGGAGGAGCTGGAGAAGGACGAAGGGGGAGGGGGAGGATGCGGGATCAGGATTTGATCGGTCACGATGGGATGCGACGACAGAGGAGAAGGTGGGAAACCGATGAAGTGCAGGGGAAAGAACGGCAAGACAACAAAGTGAGGAATGCAAGGCGTGCGGGGGGATCCGGACAAGATGCAGAAGAAGAGATTGCAAGGCAGGAAGAGGGACTCAGTGTGGAGGGAGGGGATCAGGTTGTAGGGGAAGGAGAGAGAAGGATAATGACAAAGGGACTGAATCAAGAGAGGGATAGGTAAATGTGGATATGCAGGTGAGGGAGGGAGGAAGGGAGGGAGGAAGGGAGGGGAGAGAGAGAGAGAGAGAGAGAGAGAGAGAGAGAGAGAGAGAGAGAGAGAGAGAGAGAGAGAGAGAGAGAGAGAGGAAAGGGCATACCAGATCCGCAAGGATCACATCGAGTATTGGAGGAGCAGGAGCTCGAAGAGGATCCCAACGAAGGAGAGAAAGGAGAGGAGAAAGACGGGGTGAGAGAGGCGACAGATACAGAATAAGGAGAGAAGAGGATGGGGTAGTGCTGGTGGAAGATCGGGAGGGGGGATGGAGGGCGCAAGTCGAAAGATGGAATCAGACAGGTGGAAGGGAGCCAATGGAGAAGGAAGAAAGGGAAAAAGGCGAGCGGG